GGCCTTCAAAATGTGACTTGGTGAGGCGGCTCATGGGTGATCAACAAAGTCTGTCACATCATTTGGGGCAGGGACGAGGTCCTCCCTGCCTAGAGTATCCCTCCATAGGGAATGGGCTCGAAAAAGCCAGTTCATGCACTAGGGATAAATACTGGTTCCACTGCCAGAGGCCCCATAGACTGCCCAAGCCCCCAACTGACACCCACATTCAGAGGGCCTAGCTCAGTCTTATGCTGGTTCTCCAGCTGTCAGTCTGGAGTTCATGAGCTCCCAATTGCTTTGGTTAAGTTAACTCTTTCTGTGGGTTTCCCCAACATGGTCTTGACCTCTTTGCTCACCCCTCCTTGAGGGGTGGGTGGGGGGATGATGGGGGAGTGAAAGGACAAGGGAGAGAGGGAACTGGGATTGGTATGAAAAATAAGGTTGTTTTTAATTTAAATAAAAATTAATTTTAAAAATGTGACTTGGAAAGTCAAGTGCTTAACTGCTTGGTATTTTAAACCGCTATCATTAAAGAGAATTCAAACATATCAAAGCACTTTTTAAGAGTGTTAATACTTTCTTTGCTCCAAGGTGCTTGATTAAAAAAATTCAATCAACTTTAGGTTTCAAAGACTTGATTTATTAATAATTTTACAGATAAATTGCCAGTTTTGCAAGAGTTTTGGTTAGCTTTTGAATACATTCTGAGCTTCATGAACTATTTGGAATTGACAGAAAGAATCAGTATTCCTTAATTATTTCATTCAAGAAAAACCATAGCTTAATGAATTATTTCTGCATACAAAGAACAAAAGTAATTATTTTCCTACTGCAAATAAGCTGTTAGAGTCCCAAATACCTAAGAGAAAAGCATTTTCCGATTTAATCACCAAACCTGAAAGAAAAAACAAAACAAAACAAAACAAAAAACCACTTTGGAGCCTGATCCTCTAAGCTTTGAAAGCAGGATCTATGTGATCAATGTGCTGTCCCAGCTTATGCCTCACATCCTACAGAACCCTGATCTCAGGATAAACTACCATGTGCTTTTGCTTGATAGTGACATTAATATTGGTATCTTGAACATTTTGCCAAGTAAACCAAAGCCATTAAAAGTTTGACAGTCTGCCATACAAATTTACCATGGTGGGCAGGTAGATGCCTGAAAATTACACAAATCACACAGCTGACAACTACTTAATAACAGTATAAGAGCAGAAAACTATCCCAGATCAAAGACAATCTTTTCAGTTATTGATATGTGTTTTTCAAGACACCATTTCTGTGTAACCCTGGCTGTCCTAGAACTCTATTTATAGACCAGGTTGGCCTCAAACTCACAGAGATCCACCTGCTCTGTCTCCTGAGTGCTGGGATTAAAGGCATGTGTCATCACCACCCATCATTTATATATTTTTAAAAGTGCTGTTTGGAATAAGTATTTTATACTAATCAATTTAAGTCATTCTCTTATTAAAGAATATGTATTAAGCTATGATCAAACATATACAGAACTGACTATAAGCTAAGGAAACCTATGATGAGTGGAAGTGCTAGATGACAGATTATCTACACTTAAAATTCTAGTAGGTATACTGCTAAGCAAACTCTACACCATTCAGCTGCATCTCTAGCCCTCTACACAAAATTCAAATACAAAAAAATAGGCCATTACAGTGGAAAGGCAATGAATAGTCTTTATTTCCTATGAAAATTCCCTGTTATACAGTGTGCAAATTATTATATATTCATGCTTTTTAAAATAAATATAAGAAAGTTTACTGAGCAAAAGACAAATACCAATAACAGCACATAAGTAATTGGCAAGAAAATGGTTTTAATTCCTATAAATGACTGCTACCATTTAGGAACTAGAAAACAAAATTTAGGACAGAAAAATCTAGAAACAATCTCGCCAGAAATTAATAATTGTCAACAATCAACTTTATAATTGCAGTTATTCTTTTAGAAATGTCCACTATTCTAGAAGTTACCCATGACTGTAGCCATTTTACTATAGAAAAATATAAAGTGACATCTATTATTTATGATTTCTTGGGCAGGCACACCAACTAGAAAAGATATACAAAAGCAACCTAGGATTAGTTACTGGATCTTATATCAATCACTTAAATTAATGATATGATTTTTGGTTACTAAGAAACAGGCATGCATATTTAAATATTTTGAGCATACAAGTAAAAATTCTTTGATAACAGCAACTTTCAAATTTCAAATTATTGAAATATTTCCATTATGTAAAACAGCAATTTTATTCATATGATTTTAGACTTAAGGTTTTTACAACACTATCTTAATGTTTGTTGTTGGTATTGTTTTGAACTTAAAACAGTAAAAAAAAAAACAAATATTTACTTGCAGTAATTAAGAATATAAGAAAAAGCTCTTATAATTGTTTACTATTGCATTCTGAGGCAATAGGAATTAGGCAGAACTGCCTAAAATTTTTAACAACAGTACTGTTGTATTTTAACAATTATTAATCATAGGAGCTTTAAGCGTTTCAACAATATATTTAGTAAATGACCTGGAAGATCGATTCTTTTTATGACATCAAAGGAATGAAAAAAGATACAGTATGAGCTAGGCCATGAAAGCATAAAATAGCTGCTGTTGCTCTACAATTTACATAGCTGCAGTATCCAAAGGTTTCTAGTTATTCTAAGCCTATCTCCTTAGATTAAATGTGCATGCTGCATTTAGCAGGCCTTAACTCTAGATTATAACAAAGTATAACATTTTTATTGGTGCAACCTAATAGTGATTGTATTCAAATTACTATTCTCATGTAAGAGAAACTTCCTTATTGCTGGCATGGAGAGGCAGGACCAATACCTGGTGTCATACAGGTGTGTACTTGGCATTCATTTGGTTCATGCCCTGGTTGGGCTTCAGGAAACAACAGCTGACTTAAGAGCTGAAGCTTTGTGACAAAGTAGGTTATAATGTGATTCTGTCCCTGATTTGTGTGACCTTACAAAAGTGAAGGGGTACTACAGAGGAGGAGAGGGCTGTACAGTGGGAGGTGCAGGCAGCCTGAGAAGAGCAGCCTGGGAGTCTAGGATGTTTATCTTTTATCTCAATTCAATTCAATCTGTAGGGGTCAGCAAGAGCAACATTCCTTGGATTTTTCCATTTCTCAAGAATCTGTGCTGGGAGCTTCCTTTGAAACCTGGCCAGGCCAGGAACCAGCTGCACAGGGAGAACTCTGTGCTTTTCATTGGAGCCATGACTCCCTGGCAGGAAGCACTGGGTTTATTTATTGTTTATTTATTTACAGGCAGTTATAGGTCCAGACTATTGCTCAAAGAAAGTAGACCAACAGAGCTTGGAGAAATTTAAATGCAGGCGTAGCAAATAGGTTTGCTGCCAATGTGTAGCCCTCATATTTTCATGTAAAGTGTGTATTATAGTTTATTAACTGTCATATTATACTCTGTTCAGTTCGCGATGGTTTCAAGTTTAGTTGCCAGAAGAGGAATATGAATTTATGAAGTATTTCTAAGTCTTTAAAAACCACCATTACACTTGTTACTAATGAATTTAGGAAACAGATCTGCATTGTAAAATTTTGAACGCAATAAATATAACAGTGATCATGAGGTTGGTTTGATATTTATCCACAGTTCCATCAATGGGAAAGTTCCAAAACAGTATCTTTCCAGAAGAACCATTCTAAGGATGGTGCGGCATTTATCTTTATAACCACTCTGATACAGTAGGCATAGTATTCCACTTTGGATCTGGAGAAAGTGAAGACAATTTAAAACAATTTACCTAATATCAAATTAGTTCTGTGACCAAGGAGGTTAGTGCTTCAGTTACTCTGACTTAGGATCATGAAGGACCACTGATCTTGTCCAAATGTTTGCTACCATTCTTACATTTCTTCATCTTTGAACTTTAGCCAGTGTGTATAACATTACACCAAATCACTAATTACTAACAAATCATGAGTAACAAAACATCTGAACACCTTCGTATTAACATCTTCAGTTCTTAACCTGGAAAAGAAAAATAACTTTTACCACAAATACTGGCTCCTGGCCAGATTATGATAGTTTAGCTTTACTGTATTTACATATGCTTTTATCTGTTATAGCACACTCAGAATGAAAATATAATTCAAAATCTCCAGATGTGACTTTCAACCAAAAAGATCCCAGTGGCAAACAAATTTAAGTGAACGCCATATACATTCCCAGGAATTAGTCCATTTATAGTTTTCATCTGCTAATCTTACAGGTTTGTTGTCTTTTAAACAAGCAAGTCAATGTGCTTTTTAAGAGTTTTATGTTCCTAAATGTCCTTTTTGAGGAAAATTCCCCTTTAGATTTCTGGGAAATTGTTTCTTCTTGTCATTTTGCCTACTCTAAGGCTGTTGCTTACTATAAGAGTTCATATATTCATTTCATCAAAACTATGAGGCCAAGAGGAATTTCCAGGTTAGGATATTAAGTCTGCATATCCACTACTCAGAGGGCTCCTCTGGGTTTCCCAGGTCTGTACTTTCCTTGGGAGTCTCTGAGTTGGCCTCTGCTACGACACTGGATTCTGATGGTTCTTGTTGTGAGCTGTCTCCATCAAGAACAATATCTTCAGGATTTGGTGGGGCTGGACAGAAGTCTTCATTTGGGCAGATTTGCTGGAAAAGTGTTTCCGCCTAGCCAAAGATGAAAGGACAAATTAGTTTTTGGACATCAGCTTAAAATGTATGCACATTTGTGGTACTACCTAAAAAAAAATCACATCTTTAAAAACTTCGTAATCAAGCACAAGGTAAGAGAATAAAAAAAAACAAACATGATGCTAAAAATAAACAGTAAATATGGCAAGAGGCCATAGTCCACTTCATTGTTAAAGTTTTGTGTCATGCTAGGAAGCTTCTACTCTAGACAAGTGGTGAGGAAGAGTCATTTTTAGGTGTTAACAAACACACTAGTTTCCTATACTGCTTCTCTCTTCATTGTAATACACATGCAAGGTCATCTATTTGGCCAAAACTTGACCATCTATGGCCCAAAGATCCAATCCAGACCACCTCTTGTTTTTTTAAGGTTTACTGGAACACAATTCTCATTGTTTTACCTAATATCTATGTCTGCTTTTGCTCTTTAATGGCAGAGCTGAAAAACTGCAATGAAGATTACACAGGCTGTACAACCTAAATACTTACCCTCTGGATACCTTTGCTAGATGAGTTTGGTGGAAAGGTAATAACAAAACTTTTAAACTTCAAAGTTGACTTGAATTATTTATTTTTTAATTGCATATGTGTATAATGTGTGTGTGTGTACATGTGCCACAGCACACATTTGGAGGCCAGAAGAGAACTTTACGGAATTTGTTCTCTCCTTCTAACCTTGGGTTCTGAGATTTGAGCTCAGGTTGTTAGGCTTTCATGGTAACACCTTTACCCACAGAATCATTTTCTTGCATTTAATATGGATTTAAAAGCAATTTGAATTTTAGGTATGCTTCAAATGTACACATATTTGAAAACAGAACATTTACTACGTGTTTACTTTAAAAATATAAACATTTAGTTGAATGCATTTGTATACAGTAACATCTTGGCATACATAGTATAATAGTCACCAAAATCAAATGAACTAAAACATGTCTTCACTTGGATTTGGAAAGGTCATTAAGCAACCTGACTCAAACTAAACGTGACAAAAATCAAATTTTGTTTAAAAATGCCACAATGATACCAAATACTTTTAATGCTAATTAAAAATAAAAACATTCATGGCTACCATTTTGGATGTTTGCAATTAGAACACTTAAGCCATCTGGTCTCTTATAAAATTTCAAAAAAAAAAAACAAAATCAATCCTCTCATCCATGAAAATATTACCCGAAGGGCACTAAATGGTAAAGCTAGGCACAGAAAGATTAATACTGTATGATTTTACATATATGGGTAACATATATGTAAAATCATAGAAACAATGGTCAGGAAGTATAAAGCAAGAGCAATAAGGAGATAGCTATCTAAACTTTTAATGACAAGATGACTAACTGCTGTGGATCTACCGTGTTGCATAGTGATCACAGTTAACTCTGTACTGTCTACTATGAATATCTTAAATATCAGAAATGCTTACTTTGTTCTTCACCCTGGGAATTCACCACATGTCTTTGCTAGAGAATCGTGGCTCTTACTGTAGAGGCTTGAAGACCAAAATTAAGGCCTCTTCTACCTCATACCTTACTTCTCCCTGATGGCCTTTTGTCCTGTATTTCTATTCTGTCTGTAAAAGTTCTCCCTCCCCTTTACTTCCTCATACAAACAGTTGCCAAATCACGGGAATGTCATTTTCTGTTTCTGTTTCTTAAACTCTGTTTTTTCCCCACTGACAAAGTTCCAGTATGCACCATCTGTCAAACACACAGTTTCTAAACCTGAGTAGTGGTCTTGCCTCAAGGACCCTGCCTCTTACCATAATCCATCTCTATGCCACTCTCATGGTGTTTATTGAAAAGAAAATTCTCTTTATGCCACTTTCTAGATTAAAACTACTCTGTTTTACTGATAAGATAAAATAGACAGTCCTAACTATTACATTATAAAATCTTCCAGCCTACCTTCTCTGGTCTTACTGTCTATCAGTTCTTTGAACTTCCAGCTCTCATACATTTTGCTTCACCAAGAGGTGGTTATTTACACTTTCTTAAACATGATGTTCACATCATGTGCACGTCAAGATGCTATTCTCGCCATCTGTACTGTTTGTCTTTGATTTGAAAGGGACATGCTCCACATCTATCATGTCCCACCACACAAGGTTTCCATTGTCACTTCACATATTTGAACTTGTGGCTTCTAAAGCCAGATCAAGTAGTATTATCAGTGTGTATGTCATCAGTGCATCTTAAAGAAGGCATATTTTTCCTCAAGTGGATATAAGGTGTAACATGTTAATGAGTATTCAAACAAACATTAATGCTGTTTTCTTCATTATATTTTATATAACCTATGAAAGTTATCTTTTTGTGAAGCAAATTACTACGTGAAAAAAATGTCCCTTAGCTGTACTCTTCTAGTATGCACACAAAAGCACCTGTATTGTAAATGCTTATTTTAAAATCCTCCTATTTTTGGTTTACAAAATGTTCTGTTTACTTAGGAAAAATAGCAACCTATGTTAATTGGCTAAAGGCTTTTTGAAAACTCTTCTTTCAAAAAAATTGGGTCACTAAAGTAAAAATATTAGCTTAAGCCATGAATGCAAATCTTGAGCTTTGGGTTGTAATTCCCTGTTCATTTGACATCATTCAGGGCCTAGCAGAATTTTTCATGACCAATATTAGACTCCAAAGATAAAATATAAAATTATGGTAAAAGGCTGGATCACTGTTCATAACATTACTGCTGTACTAAAAGGTATTTTAAAGATTCAAAGACCACTTAGTACTAAAACATCACTGCTACTGGTGAGATTCTATAATTGAATCTATGTCTTCTGGGGGGTCTCATAGTCACCCCTCCCAAAAAAAACAAACACCCGACTCCTTAAAGCTCAGGGAACTGCAGACAAGGGGTAGAAAGAAGATGTGAAATGCCATCTTGTAAGTAAGATAGATATTGCTATGGAAACCATGGGCTCACAGCAGCTGTGTTCACTGGGCCCTCAGAACTGTCAGGTATGGAAGGAGATGGGACTCAAGGTGATCTACAGCTTACTGCTGATTTATTGATAACCAACGGATTCTAGGAGTGGGGAGGCAGAGTATCAGTTGCATACTCACTAGTCCAGGCCATCAAGGTGAGTTTCAAACTTAGAGTCACATACTTGGCCTTTATTAAACTATGTGAGGTCATTAAACAAAACCAAAATTGGTAAATAGGGAAAAGAGATTGGTAGTTTGTATAGATGAAAAGTATTTAGAATACACAATGTACATACATGAAATTATGAAAAACAAAATTTACTAATAAAAAAATCAAAACAATACTAAATTATCTACTTGTTGATTCAAAGATGGATATGCCAAAAGTGTCTGAAAAAAGTTTTCACATTTGTCTCAGGGCATAATTCTCTTCTTTTCTGCTAATCAAGGTAAATCTGTTTTTTTTTAATATACTCTAAGAACTTTCTGTTTAATGGAATCAGAGTGGACCTTTGGCACCTAGAAGAAGCGTGTACTTCTACACAGCTCTACCCAGACCAGCCCACTTAGATTTAATACACTTCTTGGCAACTATAACAGCAGTTTGGGGGGGCACTGGCTTGAGTCAAAACATTAATGGTATCATGTTAATTATATAAAATGACATTATTCATTCTTTTCCAAGATTATGAAATGCATTAGAACATTGTAAAATTGTCTTACACACATTACCATTTCTACCCTCCTGGAAATGGCTCAGGCTGTTGGAGAATAACATTTATTTTTTTTCAAAATATGTACCAAAAAAGCCAATCAGTATTAAATGAGAGAGATGTTTTACTATCTTCTTTTCCGTTCTCCAAGGATGATAAAAAACCCTCACTTATCCCAGTATATAAATTTCTTAAAACAAAACTGAGAAACAACAGTTGCTTACCTGCTTGACTGCATTGTCATTTCCTAGACCAGAGTCTGGGCCAGAGCACACATAAACGTTGGATGGTAAATCATTGTAACAATCTCTGCTGATATCTGAAGAATCTCTCATATTGAAGTAGAGTGCCCATAGAATCCTTGGCTTTTCAACATGCTCATTTTCTAGTAGTAGAAAGAAATTTTTATCACACTGAAAACCATAATTTACTATATTATATAGCCAAATACAAATAAAACCATGACTAGACATTATAGCATCTAGGGTATTTTTATATACAAGCAATTATTGAATGTGAAAACACAAACTCTAAGGGAAGTATATAACATTTCAAACAATGAAAGTTTTTCCATCCAGGGGAAGTTAGATTTTAGAAATTATTTGAAGGTTGGCAAAATGGTTCAGCAGGTTAAGACACTGGTTATCAGGCCTGAAGCCTAGTGTGCAATCACTGGGACGCTCATGAAGGAAGGAGATAAACAACTCCTGAATTGTCCTTTGACCAAATGTACATTGTTGTGTGCACACTCAAACAAATAGATAAATGCAACAAAATGTTAAAGTTCTTACAATCATACCCACCCTTAAATTATCTGCCCTAAGTGAAAAGATACCATGAATTAAATTTCACATAGAAAAACAACTTAATGTTATATAGTTACTTAATAGTATATACATAGGAGATGACAACTATATAAAATCACATTACTTAGGAAAAACAAAAGAAAACCAAATAGAGGTTGGAATTAATGGGTACTTAGAAATCAGGGAGGGGGAGTTGGGGACAAAGGTCAGGTGGCTATTTATGGATATCGAGTTTCTTTGTCAGAGGGTAGAAACAGAAATGTTTTATAGTTGTTTCTAGAGATGCTTAGACAATTTTGTGAATGTACATGTTAAAACTTGGTGTTTCACCTGAAATGTGAAAATTTTATGGCATATGAAAAATATCTCTGAAAATACCACTGAAAATAACACACACAGAGTTTAAAATGATATATTCTAACTCTTACTCTAATGCTTTATGTTACTGGATTATAGGACTAATGGGAACCAACAAACAAAAAACAATTAGCAAAAACAAAAGGCCAATAGGTTGAATGCCATTTCGAGTACAAGTTCTCTCACTGAAAAGCAGGCATCCATTATGCATGTTAGGCAATGACATAGGATCTGGGGACAGACAGACGGAATAAGCTCAGTTCTGATTCCTGTTTTAAAATTTTCTCCTAACGCAGGGACTAGCGCACAAAAGACATTCACTAAATAATTTATAAATTGATTTTAGTAGTATTCTCAATAATCAAAACCAAATGTGTTTATAGAAAGGTCCAGGCTTGTTCACCTCAATTCCTATAGCCTATGTCTTAATATAGCAATGATCATTCTTCTGCCGCTCTTCTTTTAAAATGCTATAGTTAAAGTTTCTTTGGTTGAAGACAGAAAATATTGCTGTTAATACATGTATTGAGTATAGTTTTCTCTAGCCCAACTCTGCCAAAAGGTCAAATTCTGCATAATGATAATAAGGAATGTTTAGGAAAACAGTCCAACTCTGTGAGACACGGTGTGAATCATAAGGAAAATGCTAAATGTATAATTATCCAATTACTGTTTTTTTATCAAATTAGTAAACAATGTAGAGCAATTTTCAGCTAAATATGTCATTCAATTAATAAAAATGTCCTAAGGCTGAGGATAAATAAATTTTATTTAATTCTAAATATCTCTAAATATCTCCACTGTAGAAAGAGCAAACATACCATGTTTCTAGTTTGTCCTGAACAATTCATAATTCTTAGTGTGAAAAGATAAGGAAGTGAGTGAAAGAAGTAATTTCCAAGGAGTCTTTAATCTTTCATACTTATTTATTTTATGCAGGTAGGTAGGTGCCTTGCCTGTACATATATCCATGCACCATGTACATGCAGAAGCTAGATAAGGGCAGAAAAATCTCCCAAGAACTAGCATTACAGACAGTTGTAAGCTACCATGTGGGCTCTAGAAATTGAAGCCAGGTTCTTAGGAAAAGCAGACACTCTTAACCACTGATTCCTCTCTCCAGCACCAAGCATCTCTTACAGATGCTGAGATTTGGGTTTGAGGTACCACTAATTCACGCAGGGAAATATTAGCAAAAACTACTTAGTAACAAAAGAATATAAGAAACTGATATTTTAGTTAAAGTCATGTGATTTTATAAATTGACTGGTGTGTTTAGCTTCACTAAACTCTGGCAAAAAAACACCACCTATGAGTCATGCATCAAATATTGCAGGTAAATGCCACCTGAGTGTGATGGCATCAAACACTATAGCAAGGAAGTGAGCTAAGGTTTTTAGTAGGGCCCAGGTCCTGACTAGGTATATATCAGGTGAGCCTATCTTTTAGTTCATAAATGTTCTCTGCCTCAGAAGAGAGATTTCATTCAATACACGACAGGGGAAATGAATAGTTCAACAGATTTTAGGAAAGAGATTTCACAAAGGTTAAGGCTTTGACAAGAAACTATGTTGAAAGTGAAAATTGACATAGTCTGAAGATCAATGGTCTGGATACAAGGGAGCCATCAAGCTTTGACCTTAGAACCTTCAAAGAGACATGTAATTGCTTCATCTTTCTCAGAGGTCAGCTGGAGGCAGAGAGAGAGGTAGAAAAATAATATGCACTCTGAAGCAAATGATTGTCAAAACTATTAAAGCTGCTAAACAATAGCTTATTTCAATCAAGAAGATGACACTGTGATAATGCTATATTCTAGATGTGCTAGACTAAGGAAGTAATAGAGGACAAGGAATAAGGTTTTCTGTTAATTAAACAAGTATATGTACTGAATAAAGCAGGTAAAAGAAAAGTAGTGAAGGCAAACCAAATAAAAGCAAGAAGTGTCCATATGTGCAAGCCATGTATAGAGAACAAGTAAACTAATTCAGTTAAACTGAATTTAGTTAAGCTGCTTAAACCCTGGAACATAAAAGTGAAATAAAAAAAACCCAAGAAATTAAGATACTGCAGTTGATTTCCTGGTATGGCAAGTATTTAATATCCTTCCCAGGCACAAAATTCAAAATTCATTTATGAAGGGAACTTGTTTTCAGAAAGCATTGCTCTCAGAGATAGAAATGACTACAATGGAATGAGGCAACTCCACTAACCAGGTAGAATGGAGGGGGGGAATGTAAGAAAGAAGATGACACTGTGATAATGCTACATTCTAGACATTTAAAAATACGGTATTAACAGAATTCTTGCTTTACCTCGTATGGAAAAATCTTGTATTTCTGGGTAAAATAAGAAATCAGCAAAAGTTCTGCAGTGAGGCTCACATAGCACTCAGTTTACAAGGATATTCTAGACTCCAAATAACAAAATGAATTGTAAGCAATGACCTTAGTTTTTAACCTACAGAATGACACTTATTATACATAAATCATCTGCTATTTCTTTAGACTAAAAAGTAGACAAGGATTTAGAGAAATCTGATGTGCTTAAAGGAGCCTGGTGGGTGGGTAAGAGTACAATTATTTCTTTGAAGAGCAGTCTGAAGAGCTCTGGCTGCTACCCATGAACCAGAAAGGTAAGAAAGATAGGCATTGTCTTCAAAACCTTACTGCAATTCCTCACATATACTGTTAATCAGTCTTATAGTGTTTAAAGAGAACATCATCCTTTTCATGAAATGAACTTCCTTGGAAGGTGAGGAGGCCAATTTTCATAAAGGTTTATGACGCACAATACCATACAGAATGTATAACTAAAATGTAAAAACAAAATTAAAAGATCAAAAAAACAAAAACCCATAATATTATTCTGTTGCTACATGTTTCAGCAAAAATATTTACAAAGCTCTAAACCACAAAGCTTCAGACGATGGTCAAATATCCAAAACATAATAAAAGCCGGTAAAAATATAAGCTTTTGCAAGTGAAGAATGGTTTTTAATGTATTAAAAGTTGACATTGCTCCTAAAGTTGCTTCTCCCTCATTTAGGCAGGAAAATGAATTGAGTTCTCTTCTGCAGGTGACTTTGCCTCTTTGACCTGCCATGGCCCAGTGCTCACTTTATCTGGTGATTCATTTTCAATAACTCCAACAGTATTTGTTCTGACATTTTAATTAAAATATGACCACTACCTCATCCTGATGATAAAAAGGCCTATGTGTCAGTGAAAACTAGCTTTGCAGTGCCTCGGTGCACCTGAGGACCTCTCTGGCATAGTTCTTGCTAAAGAATTTCACTTAGGTCCCAAACAATACATCATTTCAAACTGGGATCGTTTTAACCATTAAGATTAATCTCAAAAATCTAAAATGGCTACTGGATGCTAGTTAGTGAACATGTAATTTCTGCCAGCTTGATTTTTTAAACCAGAAAATTAAATGCATTTAGAAAGTGAGAAATAATGATATGGTTAGTATACTATTTGGCACAGTCATAAACTGAAATCATAACAGAGACACTATGAAAATTTTCAGATACGAAAATGCTATTCATGGTTATGAGCAAAATATAGATGCAATTAAAGCTGAAGATACAACTATGACTCTACATTAGGTTGAGGGATATGGTTGTATATATTATAACTTTGAAAACAAATTTTTAACAGTAACTCAAACATTTTTACAAAACATTCAAATAAAAATATACATAAACAAACTAAAATTAAACTCAAATGAAATTTTTTTAGATTGAAAGAATTGATTCAACTGGGGATTTCACAAAGAAATTATATTAGCAGTTATAAATGGAACACTTTGTCTTATATGTAAATGTTTATATCTCACTCAGTATCACCACTGCATTAATAACACAAAAGAGCTAAAAATAAATAGAACCATTAGGAATAAAAACAAATGATTGGCTACCTGAATGAATGTATCAATTGAAGACAACGGCAACATAGGAATGGAAGAAAGGAAAAGGAACCAAGTGAACACGAAAATGCTTTAATGAAAATTATCTTTACATACATGAAGATCTGTAACGCTACAATTTTGTTCACCTACATACTACATATGCAATATTTGTTCCACTCACAGCTATTAGTTGCACCCTATTATGGGGGAATGATTTTGAAAATTCAAAGTAGAAAAGTATTCTTTAACTATGAGTCAGAAACAGCTATAATTTGTAGAGTTAAGTATTTGGCATAGAAGTAGCATTTAAAGGTAATTATTTAATAAGAGTTACATAATTGCTAATTAATTTTAGTCTTCTGAAAGTTAAATAAACATTTATGAGCAAAATTTAAACAAGGAATACATGTTTTTTCATGAAAATCCTGCAAAGCACATATAGTTATGAAAACGTGCCAAAGTAAGAAATTTTCCAACAGTACTTTCTTTGTCCTGGACATGTGAGTATATATGTATATGAATGTATACTTTATTAACTGTGGGGGTTTTGTCTATTTGTGTGATTATTTTCCTTTAACAATAAAGACTGAACATTTCTTCTCTTATTTATATAATGACTGTGTTCAAGATCCTTAGTAAATAAGTATGTAGGAATTATTGCTCAATACTGAACTTTAATTCAGGTTCACTTCAGTTCACGAGATATCTAAGAGGAATATCATGTTCCACTAATTTTCCACCACCTCTTTTCTTACCTGCTTCCATTTCTGTATATGGAGTAAACAATTTCTGTACTACTTGTTCTAAATCTTCTCTTGCTGTTTTAGAAGACATGCAAGTCAAATGCACCAAATCTGAAAAACAAAAACAAAAACATCCTGACTTCCTGCTCATCATACCTGTTTTATTCATATTCAAAACACTAAGTTAGTATCATGGGGAGTAGTGACTAAGCAAATCATAGTTCCTCTGTGAAGTGAATTTACAACCCAGTAATGACGTTACAGGTAAAACAAATGAATCATGTCACATAAAAAATTAAATGTGTATGAATGATAGTTAAAAGAAAATTTACACTAATACCCAAAGGTAAGTAGCAGCTAAAGAAAATTTTGTAAAACATAAAGTAGTGACGGTTACAAAGTCATTTGTGTATGCATGCAAATGTACACACACACACCAGAGTGGTGGGAGGGGTCAAAGAACATTTATTAGCCCAAAGAAGAACCCATTATACGCACTTGGCTGATAAGTTAGCAACAAATCATCTACACATTACAGAGATTTCATAAAACCTTTTTAGGGAACAATGCTGGCTTAGATTGACTCATAAACTACGCCAAAGTCCGTAAAATGGGAGTCAAAACAGTCTCTATATATTTCCAGGAATTCTAAACTACTTATCTTTGCATGTACAAATTTACATTGCCTAGAGTTGGAAAATGTTTAGATTAGAGAACATAATATCATGTACAAGGACCCTTTACAAAAGTAAAATGGTGTAGTCTGATAGAACTTCTGAATGCATATGTACAAAGAGAAATTGTAGCTGGAACTTTCTTTGGGCTACCAATCAGCTCCCAAATAAAGACATGGAAACTTATTAATTATGAATGGTTGGCCTTAGCTTAGGCATGTTCCAACAGCAATTTTAACTTAACATGTTCTATTCATCTAGGTTTTACCTTGGGCTTTTTACCTTTCATTCTGCTTCTACCATGTCTGTCTGTCTGTCCCATCTCCCTGTGGTCTCCTTTATTTTTCTCCTTCCCCTCCCCCAGCCTAAATTCCTCCTCCTCCTTATTCTCCCTGCCTGGAAGTTTCAGCTGTATCTCTTCCCTTGCTATTGGAAGTTCAGCTTTCTATTAGATCAATCAGGTGCCTTGGCGGGAAGTTTATACAGCAACATGTCTTTACATAATTAAACAAATGTAACATATCTTTGCATAGTTAAACAAATATTCTGCAACAGGAAAGTCTTATGTACTGAAAGATAGACATGTGTAAAGTGGAATAAAATAAAAGCAAAACATTATAATACAGGAGAGTACCAATAAATTCTTCCCCAAATATACCACTAAAAAGGCATGTCCAGTTCTCCTCTAAGAATTTATTTTATAATAGTAGAATTTTGAAACACCCTGGAAAGATATTTCAAATTTTATCATGAAAGCACAAATCAAAATAGGACTCATCATTAAAATTAAATTAAATTTTAAATTAAATTCATCCCATAGATACCAAAAATGTAGCATAATTGCACACTGGGGTTTTAACCAGCCACAAAAAAGAACCAAGTCATGTGATCTACAGGAAAATGGATGGACTTTGATATTATTGTGCCAAACAAAATAAGTCACACCCAAAAGACAAGCATCTCTTTTATATATGTGGAATTTCAGGGAAAAGGGCATGAATACAAAGTGGGAGTACTTAGGAAAGGGAATGAAGAAGAGTACCAGGTGTGTGTAAATATAGAGCACATTACATGAATATATGCAAATGTTATAAAGAAATCTGCTCCTTTGTATAATACATAATAAAAAATCAACTTCATATTCAAATGATACAAACTCTAGATGAAAGAAATGGTGAACTGTGTGTATGTGTGCGTGATAGAAAGTGTGTAAGGGGAGGTGAGCTCTCCTGTGAGGATGTGTTGAGGCCAGAGGTTACCACTGCGATGCTTTCCTCAATAGGACCTTATTTTCTAAGAAAGTGTCTTTTACAGCTCTTGGTTTTAGCTGGAATGGCTTGCCAGTAATCCCCAGGGTTCCATCTGTCTCTGCCTCTTAGCACTGAGACTGCAGAAGTATGGTGTTTTCACACATGTGCTGGGGATCCAAATTTAAGTTCTTATATTTACACTAGCATCTCACTCAAAGAATCTTCTCTCAAACCCTGGGGAACTTTTAAGCATGTGAACAAAAGTCAAATTTTGTAGCCATCCTGGGGTGCCAAACAAAGTCATATTACAAGTTAATTTATTAATTATAAGTTTCTCCTACAACATTTGGTGTTCTTTGTATTAGAGATTTTTAGTGTTATTCTAAATTAGGATCATTTTTGAAACTGAACTATCAATCTTTATACCACATGAATCCTTTCAAGGGACAAACTTTAAAAATTACAAAGACCACTTCCTGAACATATCACCAACAGCACAGACACTGAGATTTACAATTAATAGATGGGACCTCCTGAAACTGAGAAGCTTCTGTAAGGCAAAGGACACAGTCAACAAGACAAAATAGCAGCCTGTTGAATGGAAAAAGATCTTCACCGACCCCACATCTGACAGAGGGCTAATTTTCAAAATATACAAGGATCTCAAGAAGCTAGCCACCAAACACGAAATAATCCAATTAAAAAGTGGGGCACAGATCTAAATAGAGAATTATCAACAGAGGAATCTCAAATGGCCAAAAGGCATTTAAGTAATTGTTCCACATCCTTAGCCATCAGGGAAATACGAATCAAAACAACTCTGAGATACCATCTTACACCTGTCAGAATGGCTGAAATCAAAACTACCAATGACTGCTTATGCTGGAGAGGATGTGGAGAAATGGGAACACTCCTCCATTGCTGGTGGGAGTGCAATCTTGTATAATCACTTTGGAAATCAGTAAGGCGGTTTCTCAGAACCCAGCAATTCTACTCTTAGGCATATACCCAAAAGATGCACACTCATACCACAAGGACATCTGTTCAACTATGTTCACAGCAGCATTATTTGTAATAGCCAGAACTTGGAAGCAACCTAGATGGCTCTCAACTGAAGAATGGATAAAAAAAAAAAAAGTGGTACATTTACACAATGGAGTACTAATCAGCAGTAAAAGATAATGACATCTTTAAATTTGATGGCAAATGGATGGAACTAAAAGAAACCATCCTGAGTAAGGTAACCCAGACACAGAAAGACAAGCAAGGTATGTACTCACTCGTTAGTGGATATCAGACATAAAGCAAAGGATAACCAGCCTATAATCCACAACCCCATAGAAGCTAGGAAACAAAGAGGACCCTAATGAATACTTACATGGACCCCCTGAGAAGGGGAAAGGGATAAGTAAATTGGGAGCATGGGGAGAGGGGATGGGGGTAGAAAAGAGGAGGGGAAAAGAGAGGGGAGGAGGAGGAGGAAAACATGAGGGATCAGGAAGTCGAGTTGGGGAAAGAAGAGAGCAAGGAAAGAGATACCTTGATAGAGGGAATCATTATGGGCTTAACAAAAACCAGGCACTAGGGACATTCCCAGGAATCCGCAAGGATGACCCCAACTAAGAATCTAAGCAATAGTGGAGAGGCTACCTTAAATGCCCTTCCCCTTTAATGAGATTGATGTCTACCTTTGATGTCATCATAGAGACTTCGTCCAGTAGCTGATGGAAGCAGAAGCAGAGATTCACAACTAAGCACTGAGCTGAACTCCTGGAATCCAGTTGTAGAGAGGGAGGAGTAATGAGCAAAGGTGTCAGGACCACGCTGGGGAAACTCACAGAAACAGCAGACCTGAACAAGTGGGAGCTCATGGACTCCAGTCTAACAGGTGGGGAAACTGCATAAGACCAAACCAGACCCCTGCATGTGGGTGTCAGTTGGAGGGCCTGGACAGTCTATGGGGCCTCTGGCAGTAGAACCAGTATTTTAACCCTACTGTAAAAATGGGCTTTGGGAGCCCATTCCCTATGGAGGGATACTCTCTCAGCCTAGATACACGGGGTCCTGCCCCAAAGGATGTAATAGACTTTGATGATCCCTCATGGAAGGCCTTACCCTCCCTGAGGAGTGGATGGGGGAATTGTGGGGGCAATAAGAGGACAGGAGGGAGAGGGAACTAGGATTGGTATGTAAAATAAGATTGCTTTTAATATAAATAAAAATTACTTTTGTCTATTTCTCAAATAAAACTTTTCTTAGTGTTACATAAACATTTGTTCCTAGTGAAATTTCCTTGTCACGAGCAGAGACATGTGTACAAACCAATGCACCAGCATATATACATGTGAGGATGAGCAAAGTCCGACCTATTTATTATGTGAAATGCTGGAAATTGATAGACTGGGACAGAAGCACAGAAGGCACCAAGAGATCTTAAGAATTGGTCACCAAGTTCTAAGATGCCTTTATAAAATTCTTAAATGAATTTAACATATTCGTCTGTGCACTCATACAATAACATGGCTTTCTAATTGAGAAAACGGATGGATGGTAAAGCGAAGCAGATTTCTCAAAATTATTAAAAGAAAACACTAGGACTCTGTGCTTGATTGGAATCACGTTATGCACCTGTGGAACATCTGCAGAAAACCCGGGTAGTCATTAAGCTCAGTAGTGCACATGATAACACAGTACCACTTTTCATAATTTATGGTAAGTACATGGACCTCACTACAGAGATATTCAATCCCACCTTCTTCCACTGCACCAAGTGATACATTTCAATCAAACTGACTTTTGTTTATGTCTCAAAATCATCGTATATTAATGGCATTTGGATTAATCTTGATAAAATTAATCACCTAGTCAATACAATGATCTTATATAGTATAAAATTTGTATTTGGATTATTTTTGTATTAAAATTGTATTAACTATTCAATCCAAAAGAAAGATTTAATAGTTAAAAAGTTATAGCCCTGTGAGATTTTCTAAAGTTATATTCCATATGCTTTCTTCTTATTACTATGACTATTAATTAGATTCCACTGAATACATTTACAGGGGATGTTATGGTTTTGCTACTGTGAATAAATATTTATAATGCTAGAAATAATAGTATTTGCATTTACTTGAGACTTCTTATAAAAAACTGTGGCTGTCAACATAGCTGTGTTCAAAAGATACATGATCAAAAATATGTGACTGCCTTAATGGTATAATACAAATTCAAGACCAAACCTGTACAACATATTGTCATTTTTCCCCTATTTGCTATAAAACATGTACTTACATTCCACAAGTTTATTTTTTCTTCATGGAATTATGTCACTCAATAAATGTGAAAAAGTCTACAAATTAGATCAGGGAGGGTAAATATTTTCTTAAAAGTATTCTATTTAAATAACACCTATTTACAACTGTTGCTAACATTATGGAATACGCAACACCAGCTGCAATATTTCCCACAGGCATTATGTGATACTATAAGTGACTAAAATAAAATGCAAATCCTAACTGTAAAAATACAAACTGCATTCCCTTTATTTCATTCAGCAACTGCTTCAAGGCCTACTGGGCTAAAAAGATAACTCAATATATTCTTGACTACCACTCCTGTGATATCAATACATACATACTTGTATTGGCATTAAGAAATCATATTTCAAAGTAACATTTAATTTAATGATAACCCATGCAAAGCCAGTTACTAACCACAACCATTATCATTGAAATACAGTACAGAAACCTAACATTTAAAAGTGAAAATCCTCTAAGCACAAAGTCAGAAGTAACTGCTCACAAAACTTGTTTTAGAACACTGATAACTCCCAGAAGAGAGTATTTAGGAACATAGATTTCCACTCATAAATACACAGAAACACATACAGGAGTACATATAGGAATAACAAGTCTAATATATGATAGCTGGGTGAGATAGTATAGCATGATTATATGGTCCTGTTTTTGTTTCCATGTTTCTTCTGCTTTCTGCATCTATAATTCTAAGGCAGCTTTTCTCTCAGGACTCGCTGTCCTCATGATTAATCAGATGGGATGGTATTAATAGGTCATTTGCACTAACACTGCTACAGTTGTATGAAGCCAACTCTCTATTTAAAACCATACCTTTTTAGTGATAACAAAACTTTAAAGCAAAAATGGACAGCATTAAAACGTGAATATAAAATAAGAGTAAGGAAATAGTTGTTGAAAAGAGTAAGACGTCCATTCCTCAATGTTCTGAAGTCAGAATACACTGAAGTTATACACTATATACAAACACCCATATCTGCTCCAAAGTTGTGAAGGAATCTTACAAGACAAGCCAGTCACAAAGTGTGTTGTGTCACGAAAGAAAATGTAATGTATAGGCATTAATATGGCTCATAAATTATCTTTCACATATTCATAAAAAGCCAACTGTAATTTATGCAATATAGCACAAATAAGAATACATGATTGTGTCCATTAAAGTGAGAGGGTCAGAAAAAATATTTTCTTTATAGTGCCAAATGAGGAAATGAGTTTGACATATGTCAAACAATGCGGTTTCATAAGCCAACCTTGAAAAACTTGACTCAACTTACATTTTCATGGTAAAATTTAAGGTTAAAAAAATACTGCTACAGAATGTTAACCTGAGATCAAGAGGAAAAAAATCAGCTTACTTGTAAAATGAAATCTGTTCTTCATAACAACACTATTAAAAATAATTTGAAATACCACATTTGCAAGCAGCAACTAAAGAGGGAAGAAGATACTGAAAATTGTTTTAAACTATCTAAGCTCATTTTATGAAAGGTATGTAACATTTTTCTAGTAGGGTTGTAAAAGCAGAAAGGAGTATATAAACAAGATCCTGTATAAAACTTTAGATTATTCATTATTACATGTGATATCCACAAATCTATAATCATCACAAATAAATAACTTCCTGTAACATAAAATCCCAGAATAAAACAGCTGTTACTGCCTGATTATTATGTATGGAAAAAGATTTCAAACTGCATAGCATATGAATAACAAGTATAAAAAAACATGAACTTGAATGTCAAATGGAAAGGTTGCAGAGATGAAGTTTGCTCATTCATAAATGATGTTAGAAAGAAAATCTTCATTTAGGATATAATACTCGTTTAGCTTTACAAAACACAATAATGTCAAATTCTTAACAATCCCAGTAGCATAAAACCAAATTAAGCAAGGGAAGATGAATTTGAGTTAATGTAAAGATTTTTAAAACCGTAACAAATGATGCAACCATTTAGCTAATCCAGGGCTGCCAAGAAAAGGACTGTATTGCTAGATGGAATGAACAGCTTAAGAAGTACCGATCTCCGTTTTCAATCCAAGCATAATAATATCACATTAATCCAAAGGGACTATTTTGCACATAGTCAAAAACCAGGAAGTGTACCTGCTTTACTGTCCTAATTTCTTTAAGTAACCAAGATGTTACAACATTTACTACCCAACCCCTCACTAAGGACTTATTTGTGCTAATATTACAGGTATTATAGGCAAACTTACTTATCTTGCTTTCTGACACTCTGCAGATGAAAGCTGGCAAATAAGATATCTTGGGACACAAATCAGTGTTCCAAGACAAATTTTGTGACATTATTTCTGGCTCTGTTTTGAGAGAGCTTTGACTTCTAAATGTTAGGTTTTTGTTTTGTTTTTCTCAAAGTACACTGTGCTGCCAGAAAGAGCATCCTGCCAGGCACAGGAAAGCAGTTTGACAAGGGGAAAGAAGGAAGATATATGAAATGTAGACACAAGAAGTGACAAAAGAATGAAACAGGGCCAGTTCGCATAGGAGCAGATAGACCTCAACACCCTAGTAGCCTTCAAGGGCAAAGCTCAATTACATTGGATTATAATAAATAATGATCCTGATATTTGTAAGTTACAACACAGCATAGCAAGTCAATGTGAGATGTGTGTTAAAAAGGTAATTAAAGATTGGTAAAAAAACAAAGTTTTGATTCTAAAAGCAAGTACTCAAGGAGACCACTGCATAGTAGAGTGTGCTGAATAAACGACAAGACACTGAAGAGTGTGTAGCCACAAATTACATTTCTCAGCAGTGGTCAACTACTTCATATGGGAATCCTCTCTAGAGTACTGAAAATCATTTTTATTTTGAGGGACAGGATGTCTAGTTTCCTTAGGAGACAAGTCTGCTACAGGCTTGTTTAATAAAAGTTACTTTAATTTTACTTAGGTATATGGAATCGTACAAAAATTCAATAAAACGTGTGTAATGTGCAATGATGAAACCAAGATAATTGGCATTCCCATCTCCTTCAGCATGAAAACACTAAGGGAGAAAGTGAGGAAAAAGACACAAGGATCAAAGTGTGTGATTTCTGTCAATGTTCTCACCGGGGGACGGGGGGGGGGGGGCCGCAGGGGGGGGAGGATCTTTTATCATTTCAGCTGCACTATTTGACAATGTGTATAGATCATAAAATTACATTTTATTATTAACATATATAATTATTGGTTGTCAAAAATTTTTAAGAGTAAAGACTACCATGAAAGTACAAAAAGATATCTTTAGTAAACAGTTCTCAGCTTCTTTCTGAAAGCTGTAAATTGTATGAAGTATATGTTATAAGAACAAACTAACTTGAACAATTTTTAACATTTCAGGATCTTTCAATCCTTATGTCTTTGCCCATCTTCATGACAAAAGTAACAATCATGTATAAAGTACAACTTACAAACAAGTTAATTTGCTCTTGGGTAATGTCTGAAAATTTTTAAATGTATTCCTTTAATAACCTCACCTTAAGTCACCAAAGTTTCATAATTTACTTTCTATAAATTTCATTTTGTTTCCTCTGAGGAATGGATACAGTCAGCCTCAGTGGAATATAATTGGATGACATTTGATTTACTCAGGTCTAACTGCATTAGTTACAGTGCTTGCCAACATTTGTCAAGTGATTCCTTCAATAGAAAGAATGATGAGTTTCACCTAGGATTCCATCACTATAGCCTGTTTTTAGGGTAAGCACAACTTTACAAGTTGATTATATTATATTATATTACATTATATTATATTATATTATATTATATTATATTACATTATATTATATTATATTATATTATATTATATTATATATACAATTTGATCAGCTTTTTATTTTTTCTATTAATCTTAAATAACAGTGCACAGGGAAAACAAGTCACTTAAACAAGCATTTATAGTTAAGTGCCCCAAAACACATAAAATTTGCAAATGTAGAATTATTTTTGAATGTTGCTTTAACTGTTGATATTCACAAGCAACCTGCACTTCATTCACAGTTCACCAAAATTAACACAAATATGGGAAATTCAGAAGAGAGAATCTAAATGTGGGAGACAAACACATCACATAGTCCTATTTATCATTTCCAAGCTGCTTGACGAGAGAAATGATTGGATTTCTGAATTAGACTGAGGAGATAATTACGCAAATTTTAAGAACATGTTCTATTGTGTCAACAATTTGCTTTATTGAAAGCTTTTGGAGAGGAAAAATCCTCAAAAGAGATAGAGAAGTACTTTGGAAGAGAATGATGGTGTAACATTCTGAATGAAGCAATATGCTTATCATCAGGGAGCTGCAAATGAGAATACATATGGTGGAAGCGAGGTTGGACACACAAAACAAAAACATGGCATATTTGTTCATTTTTTTCTGACTTGAGACAGAAAAAAAATGAAAAGAAAGATAACAGGAATGGACTTGTGAAAGCCTTCTGTGATAAATCAGACAAATTTTATTTTAGAAGACAGATGAAGAACAGAACAATTTGAAACCACATGTGTCATCAATGACACTTAAATAAGGTAACAATAGGAAAATATGCCATTAAAGACTTTTAATATCTGAGTTACAAATTGCTCCTGGATGTCTGTGAATGAGGCTTAAAGCATACGAAAAGGCAGAAGCCAAATACTAAGTAATAAAGCAAGTAAATGATTAAACATGCCAGTTTCTATCTCAGTATCTTTCTTAAGTCTTGCTACATATTATATCATACATTAACTCCAGTAACATAAATAACACATACTGCATAATGAATGAAAAAAAAAGATTTAAAAGTGAGAAAGAACTCTTTTTCTCTGGGATAAAACAAAGTATTACTAATGAACTCAAACTTTTCTCTTTCAGGCTAGACACAAGAGAAAAATGGCTAGGGTATTTGTCCACATTCTTGATATTATATTGAGATAAAGTGATTAAGTTACAGTAAAGAGCAGAGAATTTTACCAAGGTAGAAACCAGTGAGAAAGCAAGAGTTTCAGAAGCCAAAAGATCGTGGTTAGTTTGCTTAAAATATTGCCATACATTATCCAAAATGTCTGTTTGACTTGTGGCTTCTTCCTACATGAAAACTCTGGCGGCTTGGCCAGCTTGATTTCTTTCTAAACAATTTAGGATAATTTCTAAGGAGGACTTAGAAATTCCCAGGATAGGGGATATGGCTCCAAGTTAGATCAATTGTTTAGTATATGCTACATTCCTAGCACCACACACACATCTACAGAGAAATTAAAATACTTTAAATGAATAAAACTTCAAAGAGGAGAAACTTCTAGTGAATAAAAGAGACACAGTAGATTAAGAAACTGAATCAATGTCTATTCTATTTCCCCTTACCAATGAAATTAGCTTGTCCTCCTTGAGCCATTCATGTTACTTAGCTTCTTTGGGTCTGTGGACTGTAGCCTGGTTATCCTATGGCTAATATACACCTACATGTGAGTACATGCCATGCTTGTCTTTCTGGGTCTGGGTTACGTCAATCAGGGTTATCTTTTCTAGTTCCACCCATTTGCCTGCAAATTCCATGATGTTACTGTGTTTAATAGCTTAGTAACACTCCATTGCATAAATGTACCACATTTTCTCTAGCCATTTTTTGGTTGATGCACATCTAGGTTGTTTCCAGGTTCTGGTTATTATGAATAAAGTGTCTATGAACATAGTTGTGCAAGTGTCCTTGTGGTATGGTAGAGCATTCTTTGGGTATATGCCCAGGAGTATTATAGCTGGGTCTTGAGGTAGACAGATGCCCAATTTTCTGAGAAACCAACATACTGACTTCCAAAGTGGTTTTAAAAGTTTGTATTCCCACGAGCAATGGAGGAGTGTTCTTCTTGCTCTACTTCCTCTCCAGCATGAGCTGTCACTTGTGTTTCTGATTTTAGACATTCTGACAGGTATAAGATGGAATCTGAGAGTTGCTTGATTTGCATTTCCCTGATGGCTAAGGATGTTGAACATTTCTTTAGGTGTTTCTTGGCCAGTTGGGATTTCCCTTTTGAGCATTCTCTATTTAGATATATACCTCATTTTTAATTGGATTATTTTTTTTTGATGTCTTGTTTTTTGGTGTTTGTGTGTACACTGTAAAGTAGCAGAAGAGAAAACTAATCACCCATCTACAAACCCTGTGCCCTACAATAGTGACCTGACTGCAAGATACAGTGATGCTATACTGGCACAAATGTTCTGGGAAAAAGCAACAACTTTTTGATTGGATTTGAGGTTCACTCAATGAAATGGAAACCATACCTGACACTGCTAAAGTGACCAAGAATCCAAGACCAAACTGCTCATGGTCCTAGGGGAAAACCTACTATTATTCCTTGAAAGGAACATGACAATAAAATATCTCCTAATGACATATTGATATACCCATAGATCAACCCTCATCTGAGAAGCTTCTTAATGAAGTAGATGGTGAATAACAGATACCCATAATTGGAAAATGTGAGAGACTTTGGAACATTTAAGTCCTAAATGGGAGGTCTTCATCAACCTTCTGAAGAGGAGATGGAAGGATTGTATACATCAGACAGAGGTGATAGATGACTCCTAGGAAACAGTGTCATCTGGACACAACAAGAATGATGCACATATGAAGTCACACAGCCTCTTGCAGCACCCTAAAGGGCAGGCCAATACAAATGAACTTGTTCTTCTTTTGTATTGTTTGAGGGTGGTTTTTTTTCCTTATTGGTCATTTGTTTAATTGTTGTTTGATTTATCGTGATTTTTGTTATTGTTGTTTGGATACAAGAAGAGGAAAAAAGAAGATGGAGTTGGATGGGGAGGGACATGGGGCATATCTGGGAGGAGCTGGGGTAGGGGAAATCCATGATGTTTTTAAAATTAAAAACAGAAAATTAAAATGTATAATGTTTTGCTACATGTAGAATCCATAACCAGTGTGTTTGTAATGTATCAAGAGCAGCCATTCACTACTTTGTTTTTGATAGAAATTATATTAAATGCTTTATAAACATTCAGAAGCCCACAAAGTGGGAGGGAATCTTTGCCAACTGTACATCTAGCCGAGGATTAATATCCAAAATAGAAAGAATTCAAAAACCAGAGTTAGTGGGCTTGAGATCTAGAGAGCATTTTCAAAAGAAGAAAAAAATGACTAAAATATCTCAAAAAATGTTCATTGTCCATAGCAATTAGGGACATGCAAATCAAAGCAACATTGAGATTCTGTCTTACCCTGATCACAATGGCAAAGATGAATCAAACAACCAAAAACAAATGCTGAAGGGGATGCAGGAAAAAGGAGCTCTTACTCTCTGCTGTTGGGATTACAAAGGAGTGCAGTCACTGTGGAAAGGAGTATGGAGAACCCCCAAAAGGCTACATAAATCAATCTACCACGTGATCCCCCTATATCACTTCTTTACATATGCCCACAGGATGCTACATCCTACTCTAGAGATCTTGCTTAACCAAGTTCATTGCTGTTCAATTTACAACATCTAGGAAATGGAAACAACCTAAATGTCCTTCAACTGACAATAAAACTGTGGTACATATTCTCTATGAAACACTATTGAGCTGTAAAGAAAAATGAAAGCATGAACTTTGTAGATAAATGGATGGAACTAGAAAAGATTATATTCAGTGAGGTAACATAGAAAGACAAACGTCACATGTTCCCTATAATTTGTATTTCTTGAAATATAACAAAGGAAAAATGGTCAAATGTCATGATCATGTATAACATTTATATATTGCAGTGATCTAGAAATAAATATCCCAGACAGTAAATGGAATTATGTATTGTTATACTTTGGACATGAAGTATTTGCCAAAGTTCTGTATATTGAACACTTGCTTCCCAGCTGATGGGGCTATTTTGCTACTTTTTAGAAACTTGAACTCACACTTAACTAAAAGAAATGAGACAGAGAAGGGAAACCCACTTTTCCCTAGGACACAGGGTAAGTGTTAAGGACTGCAAAAATCACTATTCGGATTAATGGCAAATTCTTAATTCCACACTATTATCACACTTGATTTTCATTTACTGCAAATAGGCAAAGAAACTGTTGAAGTCAACAATGACTTCAACACTTACACTTAAGGCCTAAGTTGTGGCTAAGTTCTAGATCACCTGGCATACAGAAGGCTGTATGTACTTTTCCTAGTATGATAAAAAGGAGGAGGTAAATTTTAAAGAGATACACATCTAACATTCCTTGCTTCTATTCACCATAATGTAAGAAATCCTAGCTAGAACAATCAGATAAGACAAAAGTAATAAAAGGTGTCCACATTGGAAAAAATTGGGAGTTAAACAGTCACTGCAGATGACAAGATTTTTCTGCAAAGATCCTTCCAAACATTAAATAATACATTGTACAGTGTATACAAGTACCAAAATAATGTATTATCCAATATGCATATTTTTGTCTTACATACCAATAACAATTTAAAAAAAAACTAATTAAAAGTTTTAAAAGGAGAACTGAGAAGA